AGCACTAATACCTGTCCTGTTGGCTTGTAGTGTTTAGGAATATGTGCTTTGGATGCTATCAAACAGGAAATGAAATCTCTGATACTAGCTTTGGACCTACCAAACTGTTTGGATTCTTTAAAGTTCATTTTCTAGTCAGATTAGCATTAGGATAATAGTATCTATTGCATAAGGTTAGTTGAGGCCCAAATGAGATAATCTATGCAAATTTTCTTAGATATTACAATATCCTGTATAATAAAATCCCAATATGCAAATTGACTGAACAGCAGAACAACTGGTTGCTATGGCACACACTGACCACCAGGGGGCAGATGCTCAACACAGGAGCTGCCCCCTGGTGGTCAGTGTGCTCCCACAGGGGGAGTGCCGCTCAGCCAGAAGCTGGGCTTACAGCTGGCGAGTGCAGTGGTGGTGGCAGTAACCTCTCCCACCTTCACTGCAGGCAAGTGGTAAGGAGTGAGGGGTCCTGGATTGTGAGAGCCCCAGACTACAAGAGAGATGTCTGCTGGCTTAGGCCCACAGTCAGACATTGGGCCTAAGCCGGCAGGCAGACATCCCCTGAGGGGTCCCAGACTGTGAGAGGGCACAGACCAGGCTGAGGGGACCCCCCCCAAGTGCACGAATTTTGTGCACTGGTCCTCTAGTAGTTTTTTTTATAGTAAGGAATTGTTGTTTTTCTAATTTAATGGTGCATGGTTTGAAGAAGTTGAATTCATGGTTCTTGATTTTTAATCATGTAAATTATATAGTCTTTTTAGTTCTCAAAGGAACTTAGAAAGTCATTTAGTATGCTACTTCCTCATCTTACAGGTGAACAGATAAGACTTAGAATGGTTAGTTGACTTTTCAAGGTCATCATAACTAATGGCATCACTCCCACTACTAGCACCAGGTATTGGACTTGTATGTACCAGGTATAGGCTGGACATTTTAATGTATTATTTCAAACCCTCATTACATTCTCATGTAGGAAGTATTATACTCATTTTGTTGATAAACAAACGGAAATTTAGGATGATCACACTACTAGGATGTGCGAAGCCAGGATTCAAACCAGAATCGGTATAACTCTATTGTTTCTAGTATAATATAATCTGTTTCCCTTGAACACCAGGTCCCAAACCTCAGCCTCCTGCCTCTAATTAGTGAAACATGATCTCACACCACATCTATATTTTTGTTAAAGTGTAAAATTTGAATCGTTTAAGTAGCCTTTTGTTCATCTGTTTTAAAAAATCAATCTCTTTTTTTCCAGTTATATGAGAGAATTCAAGATGATAAGAATCCCATGTTGGTTTTTAGAAGAAATTTTTTTGCAAGGATAGGTATGAAAACATGTTAATTGACATAGGTATTAGCAAAATAAATTTCTTTTTAAAGCTATAATCATCTAATTATTATTTTTCTTAAAGAAGGGAAGTAGTGGCAATCTATATAGTAAACTATTCCAAAACTAGTGGTATGTGCTTTTGAAGTAGATGATTTTTACTTTCTCCAGGGAAGATTTATCTTCTTAATATATTTTTGCTTGAGTTAATAGTGAAATTAGTTTTTAACCACAAAATTGCAAAATGTCTGGGGAATAGGTGGTAGCAACTTCATGATATTCGGTGCACTGAGAGAGGCTGGTCAGTATGAAATATTTTTTAAATGGCTAAGACAAGAAACACTTAATTGTGGGTTGATTTGTTTTTCCAAAATGGCATTATAATTTCTCCTTCAGAAATAATCGTGTGGTAACTTGTCATAATGTATCTTTAGGAGTTTTACAATGGGACTGCCTTATAATAAGAGCACTTTACAAGGATGTTCTTTTCTTACTTCAGTAACTAAATTTCTTTTTCTGGTGTCTAACATTACCTACCTACCTTCTAATAAATGAGTTTTATTTTATAGGTAATAGTGTTTCAGTAAGGATAGGCAATATATAACTGGTATATCAAATAGTGCTTTTATAATAGATATTTGATTTGATTTTTTTACTTTATAGTAATTTTAAGTAACAAATTTTGAAATAAATTAAGGAAATATAGAAACCTAGAATATGTGAATAGTTTGAGGAAAATGCTGTCAGAATAGATAAGGATACAATAAGAATTAATTATTATCCTGTAAGGAAACACACAGTAAGACAAGGTCCTTGCCTGTGGTCATATACATTAAAAACTGTAGAAAAAAAGCTAATGGTGATATAATATATGCTGTAACATACATGAGGAGACTTTGTTTAACCAGAAATCAATTAACCAGTTTCTCTTTTCAATAGCACTTTTAGGTGATAAGACAAATAAATCCATTTAAGCACATTTTTAAAAAAGATCTCTGTTGGGTCTAACCTGGAATTGGTGTCTCTTATCTTGAAAGCATAATTTATATGTTTGTATTTATAATCGGGACTGGAAGCACTGTAAGATCTAGAAATATAAAAATTCACAGTGCTAATAAACTTTGCATAGAGGTACAACAGCATGAACAAAAGCTAGGAGTTATCCATGAGGATGATGGGGCTGCAATTAAGGGCTTCACTAGAGCTTGAGATATAAGGTGCTCCCACTGTGGCTAAGCCAGTCATCAACAGATGACTTCAAGTTCTAGACTCTGTTTAGATTACGTGCAGAGGAGAGGATGAGGGAAGATGATCTAGGATTTTAATGAAAAGTAGATTGTGCACAAGCAACACAATAAACAAATGCAAAAGTGAGATTACATTAAACTGAAAAGCTTCTGCACAGCAAAGGAAACCATCAGCAAAATGAAAAGGCAACCTATTGAATGGGAGAATATACATGCGAATCATATATCTGAATTGGGGTTATTATCCAAAATATACAGACAAGTCATACAACTTAATGGCATCAAAAAAAATCCAATTTAAAAATGAGCAAAGGACCTAAATAGACATTTTTCCAAAGATACTCAAATGGCCAACATACCTGAAAAGGTGCTCAACATCACTAATCATTAGGAAAATGCAAGTCTATACCACAATGATATGTCACCTCATGCCTGTTAGACTGGCTAGCATAAAAAAGACAACAGATGTCCTGGCCAGTGTGGCTCAGTTGGTTGGGCATCATCCTATGCACCAAAAGGTTGCTGGTTTGACTCCTAGTCAGGGCACATGCCTGCGTAGCCAGCTTGATCCCCGTTAGGAGGTTTCCAGGAGGCAGCCAATTGGTGCTTTGCTCTCACATCAATGTTTCTCTCTCCTGTTCCCTTCCTCTTTCTCTAAAAATCAGTAAAAAATAAATAAATAGTATATATATACCCAGGCCTGCGGGGATTGGGCCAGAACCGGCAGTCCAACATCCCCTGAGGGGTCCCGGATTGCAACAGGGCACAGGCTAGGCCGAGGGACCCCACCGGTGCACAAATCCATGCACTGGGCCTCTAGTGTGTGTGTGTGTGTGTGTGTGTGTGTGTGTGTGTGTGTGTGTGTGGCAGATAATATCCTGGTGCAGATGTGGAGCAAAGGGAATCCTTGTGCACTATTGGTGGAAATGTAAAGTGGTACAGCCACCATGGAAAATAGTAGGGAGGTTCCTCAAAACATTAAAAATAGAACCATGATATGATCCAGCAATTCCACTTCTAGGAATATATTTGAAGGAAATGAAATCACTATGTCAAAGAGATACCTACACCCCCATGTTCATTGCAGCATTATTTACAATAGCCAAGACACGGAAACAATCTAAGTGTCTGTCCACAGATGAATGCCTAAAGAAAATGTGTTCTATACACAAAATGGAAAGAAGAAAATCTTACCACTTGCAACAACATGGATGGACCTGGGGGATATTGTGCTAAGTGAAACAAGCCAGACATAGAAAAACAAATACTGTATCATCTCACTTATATGTGGAATCTAAAACACAAAACAAAAAACCAAACTCATTGGAAAAGAGATCAGATTTATGGTTACCAGAGGCTTTTAATGGCCCAAACAGTATAAGTCAGCTCTTTTGTAGAATGTCCCTCCTTTGGGGTTTGTCTGATCTTCTTCTCAGGCTCAGACAAGGGTCTGGGGCATTTGGGAGGAAGACCACAGAAGTAACGTGCTGTTTTTACCCTTCCTATCAGGAGGTAGATGAAGTCTGTTTGTTGCCATGTTGATGATAAGGATGGTCACTTGGCTAAGCTGGTATCTTCCAGGTTTCTCCACTCTAAACTACTGTTTTTTTCCTTTGTAATTAATACATAAATAAGGGGATACTTTAAGGCTATCTAAGTCAGCGGTTGCCAACCGGTAGGTACCACCAGTGGTCCGTGAGGTCTGAAAGGTTGGCAACTACCGATCTAAATAGCCTGCTTCTCATTGCATGTTCACATTAGTTCAGCATCCATTAATGCTTTTCTAATTATGTTTATTAGTTGTCATTCCACTAAGAAAAAAGTTTCCCTGCCCACTTATTTATTTATATTAGTATAGATTTAATAGATTCTTTTTAATATATATATATTTTATTGATTTCAGAGAGGAAAGGAAAGGACGAGAGATCTAGAAACATCAATGATGAGAGACAATCATTGATTGGCTGCCTCCTGCATGCCCCTATCGAGGATCGAGTCTGCAACCTGGACATGTGCTCTGACTGGGACTTGAACCCGTGACCTCCTGGTTCATAGGTCGATGCTCAACCACTGAGCCATGTTGGCCGGGCTAGATTATTATTTTATTCAGTGTATTTATAGTGTACTAGAGGCCTGGTGCACAGATTCAGCCTGGCCTTCGGGGATCAGGCTGAAACTAGCTCTCCGACATCCCCTGAGGGGTCCCAATAGCAAGAGGGTGCAGGACGGGCCAAGGGACCCTACCAATGCATGATCAGGGCCGGGGAGGGACCATGGGAGGGCTCCAGGGCGTGTCCGGCCAATCTTGCCCAGTCCCGATTGGCCGGACCCCAGCAGCAAGCTAACCTACCCATCGGAGTGTCTATCCCCAGTGGTCAGTGCGTGTCATAGCAACTGGTCGAACAGTCGAATGAACAGTCAGACACTTAGCATATTAGGATTTTATTATATAGGATTACTTTCTTCTACTATCATGATTTTGATGCTAGAAATTGTCCCAGATCTGGCCAGTGGGGGAACCCTTTCAAGTTGATTCCTGTGTCCTTATAATATGATGCCATCACTTTTTGAGCACTTCATTTAACAAGGTGTTACAGACTCATTTGTTCCTGGAATCAGTCTTTTCTCTAAGAAACCTTGGTTCCTTTGTGTGGAGAATGGTATTTAGAAACGAAGACCTAGGTGCTTGATGTGCTCATGCTACTGGTGTGTCATTGCTTCTAGGCTCATGTAGTAGACAGAGCTGGGAAATATTTGTATAAATACTACACATACATATCTCTTAGTGATCACACCCTATGGAGTCCCCTCCTCTTGAGTCTGGACTGGCCCTGTGACTTGCTGCTGACCAGTAATATGTGATGGAGGTGATGCTTTGTGACTTCTAAGGCTAGGTCATAAGAAGCCTTGCAGTTTTGTTCTGGGCCTCTTCGAATTTTGTTCTGACTCACTCTTGGGTTGCTTTTTCTTGGAAACCATCAAATATGAGATGTATCAAAGGCTTCTATAATTGTTGCACTAATATTTAACTATTGTTATTTCACAAGGCTTTTTCTTTATTATACATCCATTCCATGTTAAGGAATCAAAAATATTATGTAGATTGTAAATATTTCTTCCTTGCTTATAATTTGCATTGATTTAAGAAAAATCCTATATGATAAAAGTGTGGTATGCAAATTGTCCCCTCGACCGGGAGTTGTCCAGGAGTTTGACCAGGGAGTGGGGCCGGCGGGGGAAGAGAAGGAGGCCCTGGCCAGCGGCAGCAGGAGAGGCTTGGGGGGAG